TAGGACCTCAAGAGCCAAACTCTCTAATATCCAAGGATGTCACAAACCTTTAAAGCTACTCCTTGGCCAAATTCACATAATGCAACATGGACACCAGACCACGGCTGGAAGCAAGAAAATTATATGGAGCTCTGGTCTAAGTGGAAGTCTGCACAGGATTCTCAATCTCTAAAGTAGTCATAGGACTAACCTTAGGACTCAAAGGGGTCACATGTTAAGAAGAAGTGGGGATACCATCAAACCCACCTTCCAAGAAACAATAGGGCCATTAGACCTTAGCTGGGAAGTACTAGGGGCATTAGATCTCACCTTCTTAGGAGGATGGAAAGTCATCATCCTAGTGATATAGAGAGCCTCCACCATTGATATATCAACCGGGGAATCATCTATGGAGTCTGAACAAAAGAGAGAATTTTCAGAAATCGAAGACATCAATAGTTTGCCTTGGTCCTCCATGGTGTTGCCCATGGCCCCGCCTAGCCTCGTGCATTCCTTATTGTTGCTCAGGTTCATATCCATGGCGCCTCCCAAGATTCTCTCCCTTACTAGAGGCGCCACTCACCAAAGCATCTTCATCTTTTCGCGCAGAAGCATCTGTGTCTCTCTTCATCTTCTCTCTACTGCTTGTGGAAAGAAGAAAAAGAATGACACTATCCTAGCTCTAGTTAGGAAAAAGGGGTTTTGAAAGAAAGTCCAGCAATGTGGCCAACTATATGGAGAAATAAGCTTCAGAAATGCAATGAAGTGAAGCTAATGAAGCCACCGTATGGAACAAGGCACCTTGGTCTACCCAAATGAAGGAGATCATTCATGCCCTCAACCCCTATCACTATTAGGGCTTGGGGCATGGGGAGCAAATGACAAACTCAGATTCAGACTAGGCTTGAGCCCAGTTCATAGGTTGAGCCCAAATCATCCAAAGGCAGATTAGGCTTAGCTCATGGTCTCAGTCCAATCCAAAACTCAAGAATCCAGGAAAATTTAACGCATGTGAGAGAGCAATCATCGGGATAGCCATTACTCCAAAATAGCGCATATCTCCAATAATAGTTATCCTCCCCGATAAATTAATAGCATGAACTTCACATCACCGCCACAATTAGGGCTTTGTGCCTATAAATTATAAGCTCCCTACACCTGAAGGCTTGAGATCTCACACACCTCACCTTGAGCGTACTATTGTTCTCTCTCTCCCCTACTACCTTGCACTCTCTCATTAATAGAGTTCTCCAGCCACTATTGCCGCCTTCAGTGGTTAGATCCCCTGACCCAACCACCCAATCTTTGTTTTTTACTATTAACTTTTTCATTAATTACTATACACCAGACACTTAACTAATTTGATTATACATAGTCAACTTTGTGCATCATTAAGTTCTATGCATGCAATCACAATATTTTTAAGCAATAATAAAAATAAATAGAACACTCACAAATTGATATGATGTAGAATCCTATTCATATACCTAACTTATTCTTGCAAGTAGGTCTTTTGTACTGTGGTGATAGTGAATCACATTTTTCGACGTTGCCGATATGATCACCCAATTTTGACACACTTGAATGCATTGAAACACAAATTGGATCACTTAAGACCTTTGTCAATATGAACCAGTTCAATTGATGCATTTGTTTGGCCGATTGGGTGGACACCACATGTCATTCCAATCACGCATGGCTAGTTTAACGGTTGTTTAAAACAAGGAAAAATTATGAAAATGTACACTATTTCATACTTATTTGTGTAAAAGTATCTCAATATAAAACATATCTGTATAAGTATCTTTGTGTGTAAATGTTTCGTAAGGAGATACACTTTTGCTGATTTTTTAAAAATTTTTTACGGAATTACCTTTTTCCTTTATTAATAGGAGACAAATCAGGCAGTTATATTAGGGATTCAATTTCCTAGATTTATGGAATAACTTTTTTAAATTTTAAATTATATCTTCCTCTTTCATTCAACTAAAATTATTTAAACATCCATATCTTCCCCACATTTGTAATGAGGAATATATGTTTTTACCTTATATAATATCATTGGCTTATATGGGTGTTTTTTTTCATAGATATTTTAAATTTAAATTTATATGTATGCTATTCAATGTATTTATAAGTAGCAGTGATACGCATCGCATTGACACAGTGGTACATGTCACATTGACACAGTGGAATATGACAATGTCACAATACTACAAGACAATGTTACATTGATACAAGTCAATGTCACACTAATATCAGCCTATGTCACACTGATACTAGTCAATGTCACACTATTACAAACAAAATTCGCACTACTACAAAACAATGTCATACTCTTATTAGTCAATATCACATTACATACATTGACATGACACAGGACACAATGAAATCTCACAGTGCCATAATACACAAAAAAAAATTGTATGTCACACACATTATAAATAATTAAATTTAATGTAAATGAGATTACATAATATCACAGACAAACAAAAGACGAAAATTGTGTTTGTGGATGGAATTAGAGTTGTGAAGAGGTGGTGATCTTGGTTGTGGTCACGATCAAATAGTGTATGTGGGGTTAGAAGATTTTGAGGGCGGTGATGGCGGGTAAGGTCTGTAGTGAGAATGCAGTTGTATATGGCATCTTTGGTTTTTTCTTTTTTTTTTTGATAAATGATCGAACACTTGGTGTGCATTTAGTACCAAGTACTAGAAGGTAGTTGAGGGGAAAAAATGGATAAAATAAAAACGTTGGGAGAAACAACGTTTTTCTTAAGTTATCAATTTTTTTTCCAAAAATTTCAACGATCTCAATTGTCGTCTTCTCCACAATGCAACTTTTGTTCTTCAACGATTGACGCTCTGTGTGGTATTAACAGTTTGATGCTGACTTTTTCACTTCTTCACTGTGAAGCCCTAAAAATAAACAATTTATAAATGACAATTTTCAGAGAATGGTGATTTTGGAAAAGTTTTGTCATCCACACCTAAAGTTCACACAATCCAGTGATAATGGTGGAGTTACGTATAACTGTTATCTCTTCCTTTCCTTCCGGAGGTGTCCTTATTTGTTTAGGAAAGTGATCAATTTCTACAAAAAGGGATATTTTATACTTTGGGTATGACATATGTACTTTTTTACTGATCTTTTCAATTGTGATACTTTTTACCCAATATTTCTAATAAATGGTACCCACCCCCTTAATTCCCTTAAAACAATGCACACCTCTATCATTTGTGGTTTCTAATCTGCAAAGCATTGGAAATGACTTTGCAAGATTGGAATGTAAACCACTGCAAAATGATTGGGCTGGTAAAGTATTTGGACCCATTCTAAATGCCATTCCTGCAAAGTTATCTTAAGCCCAGCCCATTACTTCTATCCTTAAGGCGCCATTTTAGCATTTCTGCCGCTACTTCTTTTTCTTCCAACCGTCCAACTGTAATCCCAGGTGCACTATTTAAGCCACTATTTAGATCCCTCCATTACCCCCTTCCCTCCAATTTTCTTCAATGATCTATTTAATAAGTGACATGTCAAAAAAAAAAATTCAACGGACAAGATTGTTTCTAATCAACTGAAGTCCTTAACCGTAGTTAACATTAAACAAACCTAGCAAAACAGATTTGATCAGCTAATAAACATAAACAATAAAGCACCGACTTGAGTTTTGTCACTAAGTTCTCGAAAACATTCGGTTCATACCATTTGCATATCATGGCACCGAAATTCAGTTCTATTTGCATTCAGGTTCTTCTCCTCTCCATTTTTATATATCATCCTCATATACAGATTACTAAACAACGATGTATGGTTGAATTATTTGATGTTAAAGTGAACAAATCTTCTTTTGCCAACAAACTTGAATCAGCAATTCTATTTTCTCTTCTACTAATTCATTACATGTCTTGCCCCAATCCTTTAAACCAAATGAAAATGCTGCGTACTTTATGAAAAAACGACGCAATGCAACATTTGTTTCGCCTCCACACAATTTGTCATTTTTGAACCAGTTGCCCAAAACTGAAATTCTAGCACCGATTTGTCTCTGGTGAGGTATTATTACTCCTTCACCGTTTACTATTTCTCTCCCAAAATTCGTGAGAATGATTCTCGAAGGAATCTCTACTACACGTATCATCAGACTAAAAAATCTCATACGGGATTTTTTTCTTTTTGGCAAAACTTCTTTTGCAAAACCATACTCTGATACCACTGTTGGTTCCAAATGGGTGAAATAATATTGACGGTGATCTATCGTTAGACTGAGGATCACATGCAATCCCGAGAGAGAAAATCAAAGTTATACAAACACCGAGAAAAAATAACATACTATAGTTAGGGTGAGTAAGTATTTGGTATCACAATCAATGCCCTCATGTACTAGTATTTATAGACATGCAAGACACCCATTCAAGTGAATGGACATACCCTCTAGAAAGGTTGCAATTGTTGACACAATTGCAACTCTTCCAAGGGCTATATTGGTTCATATTCATATATGTCTCTCTATAATCTTTTTCCTCATGCATAAAAAAATAACCGCCAACCATTACATCCATTCATGAGACACATGTCCAGGTGTGATGACCTAATTCACGGGTCAACTGTCCTGACATGGAGGCAGTGGTGGTGAAGTATAATGTAGGTGCCAATGTGTGTCGGCGGCAGCAAAGCACTGTGAAGGTGATAGTGGGTGTCAAGGGTGGTGTAAAATTGGGCTACGGAGTGTGGCAACAGAAGTACTAATATGTAAATTGAGAAGTATATTACTTGATATGTAAATCTGAGCAACTTGGAAAAATAGTTGTCACGGCCGTTGCTGACGGACATGTCAATGAATTAAAAAAATACAAGAGATTTTCTTGGATCTATGATTATTTAGAGAGGGTACGGGTAAAATTTTCCCATCTTTAGATCCATGATAGCCATTTAAATTGCTAACTAAAAATATTACATACCATTTAACTACATATACTTTTGGTGCTTTAAGTAAACGAGAAATGTCACTTTAATTCCTCAACTACTAATCATTTTCAATTGACGTATAAGCCCGGTTCCACAAGAAAATTTGACGTATAAGCAATGATAAAGGCACTCATTTAACCGAATTACTGTAGAAAAATATTTTACACATTAACGACAATTTACAATTTTTTTCCAAGGCAGGCATTCAAGATATACATCTCAAAACTGTCGTTCTTGGAGACGAAAACTATGCACACCCACTGTACAAAAGATATACATTGAATTCTTTACTTGTCCCCAAAATCTTTTACTTTTGCTGTCATCATCTCATCCAACAAACCACCAATCCCCGCCCAGTGAGGGCTCTCTCTCTCTCAACCACCCCTCTCTCCTCCCCAACTCTTTTCACCTAGCCAGACCCCAGCTACGTCCCCCTCCTCCTGACAAGGAGCTCATCTACCACTAGACAAACATAATGTCTCTTTACTGACAATCGAAGAAAAGAGACATTTCAAGGTGTAGAATTTACTGAGATTTCTTGTAGTAGAGGTGAGTTTGGCTGGTCTATATGCGAAGGGATGACCAGCCGTTGCAAGGGCTTCAGAGCCACTGTGAGTTGTGCAAATGAAGGACGCAAATTTGGATCACTGGAAATAAAATAAGATAACTAAAGATTAGTAACAGAGAACCAAATTGAATGGGTATGGGTGGTATCTAGAAATTGTTACTCACGTCTGCCAACATTCCCAAATTATCCTTGCCACCAAGGGATCAATTTCTTTGGAGATATCAAGGCGACGATTTTGGAAGCCAACTGCACCCACAACTTGCATTGGATTCATTCCGCTCCAAGGCAGTCTTAGAGTAGCAAGTTCCCACAATATAACGCCAAAGCTATATACATCACACCTGCATACTCAGCATGACACACATCAGTTTACGAATGAAAAACACAATGCATTAGGATGAAATTCCATACATAATATAATACAAGGCATTAATTAAACGAAGAAAGCTTAACATCCCCGGTAAGCAGGCTCAAGCCATTGGTTGAGAACTAAATTGAGCTAACTGTTTCATTATCGGTGTCACTATTATTGTCCCATAGGTTATATCTATAAAAGGGATTAATCTCTAAGCCCCATGCACGACATCTTTATGACTAAAACTTCAGTAGAAACTCAAAGATGATGAATTACCATACTGGCATACTTGTTGCTACATTCTAAAAAAAAAAAATCCTCCCGGGATTGCAAATGGCAATATGGTAATGCTAATAAGAATTCTCTTTCCTTGGGGGAAGCATTAATGGCAAATGAAACAGAGTGGTTCCAAGCCTCCCAGTGTTCTTCAGCATCATCAAGCGGAGCATTATGCCAATCGGAAAAACATTTTAAAGGGTTGTAACATGCCAAATTCAAGTCTAGAGGTGATAAAATCCACCACCAGTTTTAATACTTTTCCAACAAGGCAAACCAAACAATAAATAATTTTTCAATTGGTTGTTGAAACTTTGGTAGAAAATATAAAATTATCTTCCTAAACACCCAAAGGTAAGCAAAAAACCAAAACGAAAAAAAAAAAAATAAAGGACAGAAGAAGAAAATAAAGACATTGAAAAGTTTCTTTTGGGTTGGAGAACAGTTGCTCAAAACAAACAAAATTTCGCAACCAGAAAGTGCTAAGGAGGGAGTGTTGGGAGGAAAAGTAATTAAAAGGCCAAAAGGGCATCATTTTAACTGAACAATGGCAGAACAAACAAAGAATACAGCAGAAGTATATCAAGGTTAGAGATGAGAAAGCATAACGGAAACTTCAACAATACAATCGTCATCATCAATGTCAAATTAAACAATCGCGAAAAACATGAAGAACACCGAGTAACTTGACTTACTTCTCATTTGAATTTTCATTGCGGAGAACCTCTGGTGCCATCCATTCAGGCTAAGGCAGGAGAAAAGAAATTTATGAGAGAAAAAGATACAGAAATGGCACGAAAGCAAGAGATGACAAAGGATTCCAAAATTTGGATCTTTTAACAATATTCCTCAATTAAATCCCTTTATCCAGATTTGGAGTTCTCACCGTTCCAGCTGTTGATTTGGATGACAAGAATGTGTTATGCTTCAATCGTGACAACCCAAAATCACCTACCTGCATTGTAAGCATCACAATTAGTGAAGAAATTCATAAAAACACCATTACTTGCAGTACCACATCATTACAGATGTATTTTATTCAATTTTGAATCTCACTTTCTATACTTCTACTTTTTGGGTAAATTACGTCCACCCCGCTTGAGTTAGTCCAAATAATGAGGCCCCCTCATGCATAGATAATAACATTGCACTCCCTTCGGCTTTGGTGACTAAAACAGATTTCCCAAAACATTAGTTTGTCATCAAGGGAAAGTCAGAAGTTTGATGATGTAATCAACTTATTTTTCAAAAATACCAGAATTGCCGTTCACTAAGATATAGATAAACAAAACTTTGCTGCCATATGACCTATGTTCTTATTAAATAGCTTCCAAACAAACACATCCTATGTACTTTCTCATTCATCTCCTCCATCTTGGATTTCTCTATCCCCTCCATTTTCTCTCCCTCTATTGTCACATAAACAGGAGCTCCAGAATGAAAATCCATGTTTGCAAACTCTAGCTGAAACTTAGATTCTTTACCAATTCAAACCTATTCTTCCCCACTATTCATGCACATTCTTCATCAATCCACCAATGTACACCCATTGCAATCCACCAAAAGCACTGACAAACATTCTCTCTCTCTCTCTCTCTCTCTCTCTCTCTCTCTCTCTATACATAAATACATACATACATACATATATATATATATATATATATATATGTTTGCAAAAAGGGATTATATGTACCTCTACTATTTTTTATTCTTCTCAATTCATACTGTTATAGGAACACCTTTCCTTGCTTCAATATAACTTATCGAGACAACTGATTCTCATGGTATTACCACGACCTTAAATGGTTAACAAATCATTTTTGAGTTTATAACAAAACCAGAGACAAAGATTTTAAATCAAATCAATCTTTCTAGGAAAAGAAATTAATTTTATTCAACAGGAAATTAGACATATGACTCTTGAAAAACAATTGAAAGATTCTAAATTACAAGATAAAGTAAAGAATCTACAGGCACAAATGATTCGAGAAATTTGTAATATTACTCCTAATGTTTTTTGGGATAGGAAAAAATAGTTAGTTTGCCTTATGAGAAAAGTTTTGATGAGAAAAACATTCCTACCATGGAAAAACAAACTCAAAAGCGTATTTGAAACTATGTAAAAATGAATTCAATCTTCATTAGAAAAATCCTTAATAAGGAAAAATTATTCTCCATGGAGTTGTACGATGTCAATAATCATGGTGAAATAGAAAGAGGAATACTTTGATTAGTTATGAATTATAAACCTTTAAATAAGGTTTTACAATAAATAATATATCGAATTCCTAATAAAAATGATTTATTAGCTCATTTACATGGTGTTATAAGCTTTTCTAAATTTGACTAAAAGTTAGGTTTTTGGCAAAGACAAATTGCCGACAAATAAAAAACTATCTTTATTGTTCCTTTTGGACATTATGAATATAATGTCATGCGATTCAGCCTGAAGAATGCTCCTCCAAAATTTCAAAATATTATGAATGACATATTTACCCCAAATACTACATTTTCTATCGTTTATATTGACGATATTTTTGATATTTTCAAAATCAATTGATGAACAGTTTAAACATTTGAATATCTTTATTCAAGTGATAAAAAAATTGTTAAGATCATGTTTGTAATTGACTAATTTTGTGAAGTCTTTTTGTAAATTTTAACCTATTCTATGGTCATGGTGCTATAAGATTGAAGATCCGAAAGTGTATATGGAAGGGAGGGGATTGTGCTTCAAGTAATATAAAGAGATTCTCCGTATGCACCTTCTTGCTCAGGACAACAATAAATGGCCTAAGAGCAAAGATCAAAATTTCGTTTCGATGCATTATTTCGGTCACCTAAAAAACGGAAATGTTTTGATGTGTTTCGAAAATGTTTTGACTCGTTTCGAAAACAGAATGAAAAAAAATATAAAATTTAAGAATTATTTTTTCAAAATATTAGTTGAAATATACCAAAATATTTTGAATACCTTGAAATATTCTGAAATAATTGTGTAAATATATTGAAATATAATAAAATATTTCGAAACATTATGGAACAACTAGAAGTATTAGAATTTTGATATATTATTGATTCATTTCGGTTTCTTTGGAAACGATTGTTTCAAAACGATATTTTGATCCTTGCCTTAGAGACGTAAAAATTAAACCTTTTGGTTTAATTTATTAGATTTAGAATAATTAGAGTTAAAATGAAATCAGTGATTAATCAGAATATGGTTCCTGGGGATTTTTTTTTAAAAAATTCTAAACCCTATCATGTTTTAATTGCGTGATGTGGCAAAATTTAATTGGATGCTACAAAATCAATAGAGGATGAATCAGCATAGATTTTTTTTTTTCACATTAGAATACTAGAATTCAATGCATATTAGTCATTTAATTATTTATGTTTAATATCTAACGGACGTTACTAATAGGGGAGGTCAGCTTATTATCCAAACACGAGGGGATAACGTTGTTATTTGGGCAAATCTAAAGGGAGGTGGATATAGTTTACCCTTTAATTTTTTATCATTCTTCACAAGTTTAGTCTGTAGATTGGAACATAACAAGCTAGCAAATGAACAAACCAGTTCGAGGACCAACTCATTCGGATTGTTCACTAACCTCTTTTTGTCAAGAATTTAAAAACAAAGTCATACCTTGACATTCCAATTCTTATCCACCAACAGATTTGGTGACTTCAAATCACGGTGAACAATTGTTGGTGTGCTGGTGTGCAAACAATTCATGCCCTTTGCCTGCGGAACAAAGCTTTCAGAATATAATAATGTACATAAGAAAGAAACATATAAATCACTGATTAAAAGAACAACTTTGGATCGATTATCTCATACCACATCAAGAGCCATTTTGATTCGACGTTTTTCATCAATTTGACAATGAGGGCGATGAATAATTCGATATAAGCTTCCTCTGGAAAACAAAAAATAATTGTACAAGTGACTCATCTAACACTAATCAGAGCAAACAGACAAGTATATTTGTTGATTCTATTGCAACTTATTGTGGTAAAACATAACAGTAGATCAAGGATCAAAATTTCGTTTCGGCGTATTGTTTCGGTCACCTAGGAAATGGAAAAGTTTTGACGTGTTTCGGAAACGTTTCGACCCGTTTCAGAAGCATAGTAAAAAAAATAAAAAATTTAAGAATTATTTTTCTAATAAATTGACTGAAATATATTAAAATATCTCGAAATACCTTGAAACATTCCGAAATAATTATACAAATGCATTGAAATATTATAATATATCTCAAAATATTTTGGATGTTTCGACCGTTTCGAAACGATATTTGGATCATTGCAGTAGATACTATTTGACAATGACTAGACATGAATTTTTGGTTTGATCACTTATCTTCCAACAAATAAAGCAGACACACGCACACATAGAAGTACTCTCCAACCCCTCATTTCATTAGGGCAAAAAAAAAATCCAAAGCTAACTGTCCATAAGATCCCAATTAATTCATTTAGGTCATTAAGAACAATGTGAATCAACCAATCTTCATTAGATATCTACATTATTAATTTTTATTCATTTCAAAGTCTAAAGAAGTGCCCACACAACTCCTGTCAATGGCTCAATCAACTATTTCTTCGAAATGCTCAAAAAACATATTGCTGCGTGATTTTCTTAATATATGCCAATATGCTTTTTCTTGATTGTTTCAATAGATCCAAAATTCATATTGGAAATAATAAGAAATTTAAGAATTAGAACTCAAAATGTAACACGATTATTTCAGACTGATCAAAACAAATAGATGTGTCAAAGAAATCGAATTTGATGTTATGTACATTCCATATACAAAATTTATATCTACATATATGAAGATAATTTTGGAGATTAGGATGGAAAGAAAGAAATAGATGAAATGGCAGCTTGCCAACGCCAGCGCCTACTCCTCGTAGTATAACTGCTGCAGCAGTGCAGCTATGACTAAAAGTTATATTTATGACCTAAAACAAGCTGATTTCAACATGTTAGGCTAGCCCTTTTTCTGTTATTTGAAGGCTTTGAATATTTTGAGATAAAAATCATTGAGGGGCCATAATACTCTTGTTTTCATTTACTAACTCTACTTAAATTGATTCACTTTGCAAGGAGAGCATTTGTATCGCAGATGCAAAATTTATAGAGCTTCTCATGATCAACCTAGATATCAGGGAGCCATATCATAAGACAGTTTGTTCAGCTGTCTAGACAAAGAATGCCCACCTACAACTTTTTTTTAGATTTTTTGTTTGGGGTGCGGGGAGGGGGATTAGATTAGCTATGTAGTACAACTAAATCATGCTGTCAGGTGAAAGAGAGATATCCAGCATCAATTAACACTGGTTACCAACAGATCCGGCGTGATTTCAAATCCCAACAAAATTTAGTGGATTTAATGTATTTATAGGCCTTTATTGTTGTGGTCTGCAAATGCCATGTATTTTATAATGACACATGTACATTCTATGGAATCTCATCAGAACCTTTCAGAAGGAGACGGTCGGTTGCCTATGAAGCATAGATACAAGCATTGTTAACGGTTATGAGATGATAGAGACACATCGACACAAAAGAACTCAAAAACATAAAAAAATAAAATAAAAAGGACATGGTAGTGGTTAGGACACGCCACAAATAATTTTATTTGTATTTCAAATAATATATTTAGTCAACAAACCAAACCAAACCAAGTCTTATATCCCAATCATTTAGGGTTGGCTATATGAGATATTTAGTCAACACAGATAAAATTATAAGGAAGTTATTTTTTTATATAAATTAAATCATACCTCTAATACTCTTAACATGAAATTTAGATAGCAGTCCATAATCACTCATTTTTTGTAGACTAACTATACAGGATACATAATTATAACAATTCTTCTTGCCTTTTCAAGACCTCTTCTTGACTAAAACCTTTATGCGGCTCCTACTTTATCAAGTAAAATTTAAGTAAAACTTTACTGTGATTAATGGTTATTAAATATAAAACTTTTCATGGTATAAAATTGTTAGAGCAGTCAACCCAAAATCAAGCAGCAATAGTTGGAATGACCACCCTCCAAATATATAAGCAACCTTTGGTATACTTAATTTTTGGATGTGAGATAACTCTCGACACCCTCCCTCAGGTATGACTCAAACTCACACATGGGCCAACAAACTAAACAGAAATGGACTGACAAACAGACCAACTAATACAACTAAGTGAAAGACTAAGCTCACCGACACCAACTACTGATACCATGATATCGTGTTCGAACATTCAACCCAAAACCAATTAGCAATGTAATAGTGCTAATAGCCAATTCCCACCTTAATTCCGAATAACCTTAGAGAAGAAGCAAATTGACGTCAGGACATTGTAATAATGCTAGGAATGGCCTTGCTTAGGTTGTACGTTACATTGTCCAACTGTAACTATATAATTTTTGAAATGCCAATGCCTTTTTTTTAGAGGAGATAAACCTGATTATCCTAATAAAAGAAAAAAACACATTATACCTTGGCAGAAACTCAGTGATGATAGAGAGGTTTGGAGGACGAGTCACAGCACCCATAAAAAGAACAACATTCGGATGGCGTAATCTACGCATTATGCGAACCTAGCATAAAGAGTAATGTATGCTTTGTCAAAGATATTGCCTTGAAATACAGTAATTCTAAGAACAACAAGTGTCTTACGTCCTGTTTGGTCGGCAGGAAGGAAAAGAAAGATAGTCCAGTATTGAAGCCATGTAATTAAAAATGAAAGGATAAATCAACTAACCCTTGCCTGGCTCAGAAGCCACTCCAATAAATTCAAGTTTACCTTTCTACTCTAAGGTCATATCACTTGAAAACCAAAAGGAAATAGAAATGGGAGGACTAGGTAGTAAAGTTTACATTTCGATGCATTTCAAAGCATTCAACAAGGGCAGATAAAAGGCTGAAAAATAAGTAATCGATACAACTGAAGTATTTCAACAATATCTACTGGTACCACTTCTACCACTACATTAAACAACACATTACACCATTAACATCCCTAATCTCACCACATGACATTTTCTCTTCCAGTTCTTTTGGTTATTAGCATAGGATAAAGAAAAATAGTTGACAAGTATAAACAGGCACTTGTAGAAGCACTATCTGATTCAGCTTTTGTATTGTTAGCATTCAAATTACTTACTCTATTTCTTTTCTTCTGCTTCATAGGCAATCTGATGGAGACATATATATACGTATGCATGTATTAAAGACTAAGTTCTTACCTCCCTCTTAAACTCATCCAAAGCAGCACCTGAGAAATCCTGGTCGAGGAACTTTTTTACAGCAACTTCCTGTGTCCAGCACAATCTAGCCATAAATTTAGAGATAATATTTTTTCCTGGGTAAAACGAAGTTCAAATAACAAAAACATTTCATTGTCCTATCACTTGCTTTTCTTGCTCTTTTTTAACACAAGGACTTCAATGGCAATCATAAAAAAGAGATTTTCAAAAGAAAATGTCAAAGCAAGTACAGTGTCAGCAAAATATGACTAATATGAACCTTCTTACCGAAACTTTAAGATGTATCAGAATTGCTAACAATAAAAATGAAAAAAGTTGAATACAGAATCCATATTCATTAGATTGAAGGAAACTTCTCTTCCTCCCTCCCTCCCTTGCTCAAATATAAGATAGCGCTGATTCAAGTATGGCATGATGGAGAATCAAATTGGAAAAGAAGGATATCTCCTGAAGGTGAAGAATTATCAATAAAGAATCACCAATGTTTAGACCCTGAGAACATTTGTTACTAGAAAGGATTTTAATATGAAAGTAACAGTCCCAATTGGGGAAAAGAAGATTTGTGGCAAATCCTTACTTTAAATTCATAGGCTTCAAGTCTAACCATCTACCTAAAAAGGTAAGTGAAAACTGGTTAAACCCCACAGTTATTCACCACAAAGCTATACCACTACCAAGGATCAAAATTTCATTATGAAGCATAGTTTCGGTCAACTTGAAAACTTTTGGAAATATTTCGGAAGCATGATGGAAAAAGATTTAATAATTTAATTCCAAAACATTGATCGAAATATACCAAAACCCGTCAAAATACCAAAACACCTCGAAATATAGGAATTTCAATATCCACTCAATGATTCTTTTAAGTTTCCATGCAACCAAAAACATTTCAGTTTTCAGCCATTTCAAAATAAAATTTAGTTTCTTGCTGCTAATCGCTGTTAAATGAAAATTAGAAAGTGCACAATTCAGGACTTGGATTAATCCAAGTGCATGGATTGTACAGAAGAACATATGTCTTTTAGGACACTAGCTTGGAGAAGCCTTATAAAATCATGTGACAATTTTAGTGGTCAAGAGTTCTAGGTTCTCCTATGGATCATCATGAAATGCCAACTTGGAAACTGAAATTCTAGAAGAGAGGAACAAGGACTAGGCTAGCATCAGAATAATGCACCTCCTCAATGCAATGAATACTTTAGTTCAGCTTCTTGTATCTCTGTGAATTTACAATTTCTACAGTACGGTTATTCACTGAGTATTTCTTGTCTGTGAATAAGTAAACTGTCATTTGCGATAACTTTCTTTTAAAACAAGACATCAGCATTCTGTGATAGCACTAATCTGGGAACAAAAAATGAAATCTCACACCAACCTGACAACACAAGAAAGCTTATGGCCTGATAATGTAGACAATGTGATAGGAATCGGATTATATTCGTTATAGTAGGCGCAGACATAGGGATTAGGAGTTATTGGTCATTTTACTTCATAGGGCTTAATTGTCATTTTGACTATTTATTTATTTTAGGATTTGTGCTCTCCTTATATATATAGGGGATATGGTATTTGTTTTGGCAGACGTTGATTATTATTGAATACTAATATTGCTTCCTCCTCAAATTCTCTCTTTTCTTATCCCTTTCTTCTTCTCTTCTCTTCTCATCTTTAATTCTTCCCTTCCTAGACTACATCACAATGTCAAGGAGTGACTCAGACAACAAATGCATATATTTATTTTTTTCTACCGGTTTTTCAGTCCAAGCCTATAATCTTTTATGATGCCTCTAGTGAACACTGCCTAAGACCACATGCATACACATGCAAGCGAGACTACATTTTCTAAACAGCAACATAACAAGATACAATTTCGTGTGAGAGAATAAAATTAATAAAGGGTGCAATAGAGTTTGATGCAAATTCTTAATAGTGGAAACAACAAATCACACAATATTTTATACAACAATGTTCAACAACAACGTGCCTCTCTGAACTAGTTCATATTATCCAATTAAGTTACCTTTTTTAGCATATCCAGACTATGGTTGGCGGATGGAGATACATATAGTCCGACATGGCAACCGCTGCCGTCCTATATGTCCTAATTTGGGTGTGTATATGTATTCTCCTTGTTCTGATGTCTTTTTGCATTTGTTTTGGCATTAGTCAGAGTGTTCAAAATTTTGATTTCTTTATACTCATAACGATGGCACTGGAAGCATCACTCACGACCGGATTAGATTAAAATAATCAAAAACCAAAAGGGGTACTGTCTATATGTTCTGAAGGCATAGCTACAAAAGAACAGACAATGGCAGTAAAGACAAAATTAGAAAACAGAGTTATCATAGAAAAAAGAGAAACAAGACTATTTATTCCATGCAGACTTAGTTCTCTGTGTCGGCTGCTCCTCTTCATATCGGTCATCTGCTGCCCTTCTTCTTCACAGAATGTAAAATGCAATCTCGGAAACAAGGGTCATGGAGGCTTACAATACCAAATCCGTGCACAAATTGTGTGTCTGTGTTAACACATGCCTATATAGTTCAGCCTTGTTCACCAAATAAAAGTATCTAGATTCATGCCTATGTAAGGAATACTTCAGATCCCATCAAAACTTTTAATATAACAAAATATTGAGCAGCCAAACTCCCTTTCACTTCCTCATCAAACACCAACAATTGGATACAGATGCTTACTGGCTTACATAAAAGAGAAACTACTCAAGATGTCCAATGGTATTAAAGCTGATAGCTTTCTAAAATTCTGCTACATGTGATAACCGAACCAGATTTAATGAGCGTAAAATATATTTCAACAGAAGCCCAAAGCTCAACACAAAGATAGCCACCCATATTTTATACCCATTGTAGCAAAGCTACTTATCTAATGCACAGCTACTTATATAGTATAACTCCTCATCATCCAATGACATCTTGTTTTGTGAATCCTTCATGCACTTCTGTTTTTTTCCAGTAAATTCAAGTAAAACTTTGATATGATTAGCCTTATCAATTAACATTTTTTCCAAGGTACAAATTAGTCAGATGCCAACTTCTTCTGCTAATCACGTGTTAGCAAGTGTCCAAAACATGCCTAGTCGCCGGCCCCATATTTAATTTTCAATTCTAGACACTCATTAAGAAATGTCAGATGTGTGACCAAAGGACTTTAAAAAATGTTGCCAAAATTAAGATTTTCCTTTTTTTTTTTTTAACTTATGCATAAAACTAAAAACAGTATCGGGAAAGTGTTGCAGTGATGTTGATGTCCAACATGGACACATCACCTACTTAGAATCTTAGATTTATGCAACGTCAAATAAAGATAAAATATAAATTGAAAAAATAAAAAACCTAAGATATATTATGTCCAGTAAATAAAATCAATATATTGGGAAGTGCACTCCTCCAACTGAGAAAGGAAGTTTGTTTAGGTAGCTTCAAAGAAAGACCATTTTCTATAGCTCTGATTTAGGGCAGCTACCTACCGATAAATCAGAGGATTGAATAGACCGTGTGGATATTAATAATGAAAATGCCGATGGTGACAATGATGATAAGAACAATTCTAATAATACTAGTAGAAAGAAGAACTCACTGTGCCATTCCAGTCCGCATGGTAGACCTCTCCATATGAGCCTACATGTGAAAAGAGTAAATCCTAATCAGAAAAAGGTTTTGCAGTGTGGATGTTGACACATAATGAACCCTCCAATATAATAACAACTAACAAAATTGATGATTCTGACAGTCACAATACAAATAGCAACCAGATTGGCAAGCTTGTGTATTGACACAGAGAGAGAGAGAGAGAGAGAGAGAGATGGTTAGCAAGTGAAGGCAATGAACTTCTAGTTTAACAAGAAAGACGATTTCCCAATGCAGATTGATATATATGCCATTCTAGTGGGGCTTGAACCATTTATTAAAATTCAGTCTAGCCCAAGCGCTCAAGCACAGAACTTTAAAGAAGAAGAATGTGAGTAAGAAATCAGAGACAACTCCAGAAACTTCAGGTTCCATGTCTTACCTAGTCCAATCCTTTCACCAATTACCAGATGTTCCCATGGAATTTCACATTTGCTGACATCATCTATCATTGGATCACCCTGAGCACCACTATGATCTACTGACGAGCTAGGACTTTCTGGATCTTTCAATTTCATATTGGTCCCGATAACTTTATCTTGCATGAACCTTCCTTGATCATGTCGGCTAATGGCATTCTTTCCATGTTCTTTAATTTCTAACTCTTGTTTTAGCAGAACATCCCCATCCCTGTTATCATCCCCCAAATATAGTTCACTAAATTGATTCTCTGTTGATGCCAGAAGTGAATTATTATCAACAGAAGAATACCTGTCACCATTCTCCGCATGGGTGTGCGAAAATCTGTCAGGTAACTTGTACCCATCATGGTAGACTTTATCCGAGATGGTAGAGCTGCTAGAAGCCACTGATGACATATTGTAATCATTGGCTTCTTGATTCTTGTTTGGAGAAATGCCCTCCACAAAGCCATGCTCATTTTTCCTAGGGACCTCATTGCATGCATAACGATTCTTCCACATTAATGGTACAGGAGGTCGACCAGAGGGAAGGTTATTCTTTGGCCTTTGAAATCCATCCCCTAAATTCCCGGCAATATTGTTCTGCATCAAAGCCTTGCCAGATCCTTTTATTTGGAATGGATTAAGATCAGCAAAAAGATTCTTAGTGTCCTCTGCATTACTCTCGCTATATGGAACTACATTAACATTCATCCTCAAGCCATCACCAGTTGCCTTGGGCCCACGACCCCCCTTATACTGAGAAGTCCCTATTACGAGTGAGGGGATATGATCCAACTGATTAGCAGAAGGAAGTCGACTAGTAGATCCAGAAGAACCAACCCCTGTGTCACCACTTGCACTTGTGAGTGGAGGCAAAGATTCTGACTTCTCAGGGCTTGGCTTTCTACCAAAGGGAAAACGGTTTCCTGCTGCAGAATTTTGACAACTGCCTCCATACTCACCAGGTAACAGATTTGGTCTTGACGAAACAACTCCAAAATCATTAGCTGTCTGAAGGCTCGGAATTTTATTTATTTTAGGATTGTATGACATAAAAGAATTATCCTTTGCACTCAGAATATCTGCCGGTATAAGTGTCCCGGGGGCTCCCATGAGGTCAACCAAACACTCACTGAAAGGCAAAGAAGTAAATTTAGATGACAGAAACATATATACAATGGTGCTAGACACAAACGGACTGCATATGATTGTGCATGTATGTATCTATTTATATGCACAAATAAGTTCAAACAGAAACTCAAAGAATAAAAGCAAAATCCAAATGCAATTAAGTACAATATTTCCAAATTTCTCAGCAAATCTCAACGGAAACAGTTGATCAAAACTTCCCAAAAGGTTGGTGAGTAGTATGATTAGTAGTGTTAGGTATACAACTAAAGGATATACAGGTCCTTTCCTATAGGGGGTGTCCGTGTAATAAAATTAAATGTCAGGGGGTGTGGGTAAAATTTGCCCAAAAATTAAACTTTCTATGAACTAGACAAGACTTGGAATGAGCCTGCAGAGCAACTGGTGCACAGCGGAGACTGGGGGAAGCCATTTCCAAGCATAATGTACTACAGAATTGGTAGCCGAGAATCTCACCACTGCAGATCTTGGAAGTGAGTTTCCATGAAAAAAGTATATAGAACAAATGGGACTTTATGCAAAAACAATCAATAACACCAAGTCTATATTCGATCACATGGATCCAACTAACAAATAAAAGGATCATAACTCAGTTAGGTACCAATAGGTTTGGAAGGGGTAGACTGAATAAAGAGAAAACTATTAACATTATTTGCACAAAGTGGCTACTCACGGATTCGAACAAACAACTTGTTAAACATAACACCATGCAATAACTTCAAGAATCCAAAAAACAAGAATACCAGATAAAAAGTAAGACCAGTGTGCTTAAGATCATAAATAAAACCATATCAAGAATAAATTTCATTCAATATGAACTTGAACAAGTATATGAAAGGAGATCCAATAAAATGGTTGAAAGAATTCGCTCAGTCATCCTTAAAGCGTTCACCATATCAGCCTCCAAGGAAAAACTTTTCTTGATGCAAAAAGGGCATTAAGAGATTATTATCAACAAACCTAAAACTAGCAGAAGTCGTCACCTTTCATTCACCAGCTTTATAATGTTGACAGCATCATCCTCAACACCGGTGTAGTGACTACCCTTTACAAGCCTGCAAGGTATTCCAACATTGTCGGCTAACACCTAAATTTAATAAAAACAAAGAAATTAATCACACTGTTAGCATATGTTGCAAAACAAAAACAAACAGGAAGAACATCAACAAGCCCTAAGCATACACAAGTTAATTAAGGAAACTATTTATGTAGCTGGAGATGACTACAGACTGCAAGGGAGGAAAATTATTCTGAGGAAAACATAACAAGCAGAAAAAAAATCTCATGTCAATGGATTTGACAACACTAGTCGAGGTGAAAGGATGCATTCCATGTAAAAGACAGGTCCTGGATGATTGTATCTAAGGATGAGGATCAAGGCAACCCAAAGGCAGAGAGACAATCACATGGTGCTGAGGGGTACTATCAACTATGATCTGGTGAGTACAGGTTCGGTAGGGAGAAAGGGTGGTGGACAAAGAGCAGAAAAGGACAGTGTGAATTCTCCCTGTAGCTTTGTAGAAACTGCATGTCCATCATAATCCTGTGCACTTTGTACAAACAGCATGTCTATGGTAAACCTCTATCCAGGGGTTCCAAATCAGCCCCATGTCCCCAGAAACCCAAAGGAATCTCTCTCTCTCACACACACACATGGATAGGCCACAGCGCCGAATCCCACAAGAGAGCCAGACCTTAATGAGCCCGAGACCCCAGCGGTGGATCCACACTCCTTCAAGAATCCCAATAAACCTGTAAAGAGGATCCTATTGCATCTCTTGAACCATGCAAATGGCCAAGTCAAAAGATTTAAGTGTCCTCTGAGCCCTTCCCTACTGAAGGTCTAGAGGACAATTATCAAATCATAGTTTAACTGAGAGGATTTGTATTGAACTAGGAAGCACGAATACGGACACCAAGACATAGCAAAGTTCAAAAATGTAGGACATAGGTACGATAAGGATACAACTAATTAAAATAATATAATATATTTTTTAGATATAATAGAATTATAATATATTAAAAACAAATCATATTTTATAACAATATTAATGACAAGACCTAACAAATATTAATTTTTTGATTAAAATTAAAATATATCAAAATAAGCAACTACCATTTTCATCAAATATCATTACATCCATTGAGATTCACAGTTTATCAACTACATAACAAAAATATACAAAAATTTAAAGAATTCACATTCCCGTAATAGTTAACAGTCATTTTTTTTATAAAAAAAAATTTGTTTTATCCTAATTGTATCCTGATCGTGTCTGATTACGTTCACTAGACACTTCTAGCCGTGTCGGACACTTGTTTGGCCGTATTCGACTGGTGTCCATGTCCAACACTACCACGCCACCTCTCAAGAAGTATCCGTACTTCCTAGGTACCGAAGAAGCTAAAAAAATTGACCCTCACCTGCATTTTGCATAAGCCCAAGGATTGTATAAGGGAACCCCTGAAAATGACCCTTGGCCGGGGCATCTCATAGACGCCACAAAGTAATATTGGTATTTAAAAACAATAAAGATACACTACACTTGGCACCCTTAATTTTATGAAAATAACATGGCAACCCTCTAACATTTCCAAACTCACTCGACGACTCAGATTTCAATTATGACGTTACTTATTCACTTACCATTTTTCATTACCATTAGTCAAAATTGATAAGTTAGTCAAAAATCAAAATTGAGAGAGACATAGGCAAAGCCCCCGGGCAGGTGACGATTCCACACACAACCAGCCCCCCCTTCTTCCCTCACCCTCAGCTACAACTCACCCAACAACACTCTTTACCTACTCCCCTTGCTACCTCCTCCACACCCTAACCGCAACCCACTCCTCCACTTGGAGATTTCAATTATGAAGTTACATATTCACTTACAATTTTTCATACCATTAGTCAAAATTGATAAGTTAGTCAAAAATCGAAATTGAGAGAGACATAGACAAAGCCCCTAGGCGGGCGACGATACCACAAGCAACCAACTCCCCCTCCTTCCCTCACCCCCAACTACAACTCACCCTACAACACTTTACCTACTCCCTTTCCTACCTCCTCACCGCAATCCGAAACCCACCCCCTTCACCCCTCTTTTGCAGCTCCCGCCCCCTGACTTGGAACCCCCTAATATGATTTGTCCAATCAAATCCAAAATTTAATATTCCAAACTTACTAAAACACAATTATTTACCTCTAATCAATTTCCTTTATCACAATAGCAAAACCTATAAAGAGAGGAAAAAAGGATGCAACAAAGATCTTTATTTTCTTCATGTGATGTGTGTATTTTTTATTTGTGACCTCAAGATCATAAAGTTGAATAACAATTTACGGAATATCAGATGAACAATTAAGTCTTATGACACTAAAAAACACACACACAGATATACACTTAATATTTGCAACAGATCAATCCAACACATTTAAGTCTTAAGTAGTAATGATACAAACATTCAAATGCGAGAAGGTTTGAGTTGAGTTTGGTTAACTAGAAGTAGTTTTGACTTGGAATAAGTTTGGTTGAAGTTGTTTGTTTGTGAGGTTGATCTCGATGGGTGTTTCTGCCATTTTCAATGTGTGTGTGTTTGTGAGAGAGAGAGAGAGAGAGAGGGGTGTTTCGATATGGGTTTAATTTTTTCCAAAGAGGATTGATTGTGGAATGAGATTAATTTTGTTCCAACAAGTAACAAGGGGGTAATATTAGCATTTTAAGATTGTTCTTGTTGCTTTAGAGGGAGGTTGCCATGTTTTGACTTGGGTGCCTTAACCTCTAAACCAACCAAACTAACAATCCTATCCTCCTCAAATCCTAACACCATCAAAAGTAAACCTATCCTTATAGAACGAGAGAGAAGCAGAATGAAACCTAACAGCAACTACATATATTCAAGATTGAACAAAACTATGCCTGCAGTTTGCAAATTAAAATCAAAAACTTCAAAATTCAACACTCAGTTACCTGGTTAGCTACCAATAGCCAGGGGAAAAAACAAAGCAACTAATACAAATTTTACAAAAAACCTCACTACTGCTAACTACTATTAAACACTCTTCCCACCTATTGATGACATCATTCCACGTTGCTGCCGCAATCAAGTCTCTTACTGAGTTCCTATTTATTCTTGCAATGGGGCAGTGACAGGCATATCTCGTAGTTAATAATGTTGAGCAAGGTACAACTGGAGATTTCACTGATTTCAATGATTAGCTCTTGAGGGAAAGAGAGAGGAGACTTAATAACAGAGTGGGAGAGAGAGAGAAGAATGTTTGGACAGAGGAATGAGAGTGGCATCATCAAGAGAGAGGGGCGCCGGGGGGTTGCAGCACTGAACATGAGAAGTCAGAGAACAGAAATACACAGCCATACAAGTTCACCTTTTATATATGCAATTAAACCAGGGAAGAAAAATAGATTGAACATGATATATGCAATTCGGCGGGTTAGGGTCAAACCCTATCATCCCTGATATTTCAACCTGAAGCCTGCTCAAATTTAACTTGGGGTGGGATTTTTTTGCCCAAGCCCAAGCCAAAGCCAAATATTGGGAGTCTCAGTCTAAGAATTACATATTTCGAGATTTGTTCAAGTGGGATTTGGGGCAACCTGCCCAAGTTGCACCCCTAATCAAAGTCTAACTTCAAGATTACCCACTCCATTGGCATGTCTTTTGATCCTTTCCTTCCTTATAATAAACAAAAGATGTATTATTGAGAATGAATCAGTAAGACAATAAAAAAAAGGGGGGGGGGACTAAATATAAAAGACTAAATAGAAAGAATGGCAAGAAAAGTAGCTAAACCTTTTGCAATGGAAAGAAAACAGAGGAGAAAAACGAGAAACAACGTGACATACATGTCAAAAACTATCAAGCTCAAACTCCGATATCCTCAAACACTTGGTGATGAAAATGAACCCACAAAGAAAACAATTAGGATGCTCCATCAGCATATCTTCTGTCCCTTTTTCTTTTTGAATTGCTCTTTTTGATAAACAAAAAAGGTAGAGCAAATGACACTTTGAACCCCGAAAGATTTTTGCACCCTCAATTTACACCCTAAAACATTGAAATTTTCATATTGCACCCTCAATTAAACCAAAAAGTAGAAATGTGCTACATTTTATGAAAATTGAGTACAAAATTTTCATTTAACACACTTAAACTTCAGTAACATGCAAACAGTTGTGAATAGAAATAGGATAAAATGACAAAAACAAAAAAGAAATTGTCGAAAAAAGCAACGAACATTTTTGGACGACAATGCTACTTTTTTATCTGATTGAGGGTGTTATGTGAGTGTAAATTGAGATTTTGAAAGTCTTCTAAGGTGCAAAGTGTTATTTGCCCAAAAAGATATTTTATTAAGAAAGAATGCATAATACAGTAAAAATGCTAAGTGCAAAATAAATAAATAAAAGTGAGGGAAAAACAAGCAAGGAAAACTCTTTCCAAACAAAAACCAAAAAGAGAGAAGAAAGAAATACAATGTGCTATACAGATAAAAACCATCAAGCTCAAGTTCCAGCATCCTCCAACAGTTGAGGATGAGAATGAACCCTACCAGAAAACGAGGATGCCCCATTAGAAGTGAATGTAAATTTTCCCACAGGCAGACACTTACATGGCTAAACTAATCATGTTTTGAGATTGCGGGGGTGCATAGCAGCAACCCAAGAATATATCAGAAGAAACCATCTTGGTACTGCATAATAAAATCCAGAAAGAGGCTAAAAGATGGGCTATACCAAAAATCACCAATTCCAGAGATTGAGTACACATGTAATTTCTATCATTTTTTTCAGTCCATACAACAATGTAGATCCCGAAATAATGTGAACTTGAATAATCCTAGGTCTCTCACTCACAACCTCATGGAGCACCCCAATTACTAATAAATTCACTCCAAAACCCTTTCTAGGAGAAATCACGAGGTAAACAGAAAATGGAGTGTATCAAAAAGCTCCTGTTTCTATCACTCCTCCACCTAAATGACATATAGGGGGCAATTTCAAAAAGTCTCACGTTCTCCCTTGGGCCAGCCTGCTCCATGCAATTCTATGCAAGGAACTGATCCCCAGAGTAAACCAAATAATCTTCAATAATGCAATTAGAACCAAAAGGGCATAGGGTGCAAGAGATGTGGTATCTCGCCCCTGCATTTACAAAGCCCAGCTGTCCAAGCTGAGGGGCATTTAAGGCCTTCTAGGTTAGAACATTTATCTTGTTAGTATTAACTCTACTCTAAGTATGTAAAACAACAACTTAAACTTAAGATCATAATTATTAGTATCGTACGATGTGCGATACGTATAGTATGATACATCACGATACACCCGCAAAACGATACGTATCGTGTCATTGTATCTTTGTTGCACCGTATCGTACGATATGTCTAATTCGTACGATACATGAAGATTTTTTTTTTTTTGGGCTGAAATGACATTATGTCATCTCAAAACTTATTTTTAAATTACTAACCAGTGAAATAACATCGTTTCAATGATTATAGTTTTTAAAAAAAAATAAAGTCTACATTTAATATTGTTCAATTGAATTCAAAATTCCTGATTAATATTAATGTTGTTCAAGCAGTTGATGTTAGAAGATTGAATTAGAGGTCTTTACATTTTGATATTAGTGAACTATGTTGGAAACTTGAATAGTCGATGAAATATTAATGAAATATTATGTTATTATGAGTCTATGACTTTTTTACAAAGGAATATATATATTTTATTAATAATTATTTAAAATTACGCATATCTTACGATACACAATATAATACACTATTTTTGAAAAACGATACGCTTTCCGATACACGATTTAACAACTATGCTTAAGATTCATTGGTTTTCCATATCATTTGGACTCGTGCACATATAACAGACTAATCGTATCTCAAAAATTCACAAATAATCCTAAGAACATGTTGACCTAGCATTTCCAAAAATCAGGTAACCATTGTTGCGATGAAACCAACAGTGTCTCAAGGTGCCGCTCAGAGATTTGCATCGTTTAATGAATGATAAGCTTGTTGGGATCAAGGCTTAATTGAGTTGAGTTGAGTGAATGCTAAGCTTCAAGTAACAACTAATTTAACTAGCAAAATAAAAATAAAAAGCATAATAAAATCCTTAACCTTCCACCTTACCTCCTTACCATTTTGACTTTCAAATTGACTTGAAAGATTAGGATGAAAATTCCATTATATAATTAAGTGTTGATGATATTTACTTAATTGATGAAAATGTAAACTGAGAAACTCCAAAAAGCAAGCTATGTCACTGTCAAACCAACACTTCTTGGATACTCCTGAACATGGTCCTCGATATTTTGATTATGTCCATATTTTTTATTTAAAGACTTAATTCTGAATGCATGACTGACACTTCCTAGGACCCGCCAATATGTTATGCCAAATCCTAGATCTATGAACTACTTCCAATTAACATGCAGAAGTTACAATTGCAAGAAAAATTAAGTAAAGTTTATACAAAGTTTGTTTGTACTTGATTATTCAATGTATAATATTACAAAAATAAATAAATAATGGGCATCAAAAGAGAGAAATCATCACAACTATGTAACATAATTAAAAATTATTGTGTCCTCTTCACATATGTAGAGTATATAATGTGTCCTTTTTGTTTCTTTCTCCAAACAAGGTCAATCAATAATAATGGAACAATTCATAAACCACAAACTTCATGATACAATTACCAAAAAACTGAATTCATCTATCACAAAGTTTGATGTGTCAGTTTACAATGTAATCGTCTTTATGAAAACCTATATTTCTTTTCGTCATGTCTTCCCAAGCTTTTTTTTTTTTTGTCATGTATTCCCAAGCTTGAGTCCAAAATTCTACACATTTCATATTACTGGGGCTTAAGCCTTGATTCGACGTTCAAGGAGGAGCTCCAAAATCAAAAGGCTTTAAATGGGTAGGCCATAACTGACATCAACAGAAGTAGGAATACAATTTCGAAAAGAGTTACCACTGAGACCAAAGATTGAAGCAATTAGGTCCAAGGATCAAAATATCATTTCGAAACGGCCAAAACGTTCGAAACGTTTCCATTTCCAAGGAGACCGAAACGAATCAGTGATAGAACCGAAATTCTAATCCTTCGAAGTGTTTTATAATGTTTTAAAATGTTGTTATATCTCAATGTATTTGCCCAATTATTTCGAAATGTTTCAAAGTATTTCAAAATATCTGGGTATATTTCGACCAATGTTTTAAAAAAATAATTCTTAAATTTTTTATGTTTTTCATTTTGTTTCCGAAACGGGTTAAAACGTTTCCAAAACATATCAAAATGTTTCCATTTCCTTGGTGACGGAAACAATGCATCGAAACAAAATTTTAATCCTTGATTGGGTCAAAGAACTAAGTGCAGTGCTTCTAGTTTTTCTCTGAACAATTATGCCTTTAAAGATAGTAGGGAAGTTCTATAAAACACTTCATTTCAATACCGAGCAATTAAGAAATTACATAATAATGGGAGACAATCATAAAAAATAAAAATGAAATGAGGGAATCCGAAACAGAAAAAACGACACAGCAAAGACCAAAAGATGGATGTTTGTAGAGAAAAAATAAGATTAAGAATGAATAAGGTCGTGAAACTTGAAGTTGCACCTCTTAGTGACAAGTTTTCGCCATGTAATACGAAAACCAATAGTGGAGTGGTCACAAAGGTTATATCCATAATCATGCTATATTAACAGGAGCCCACACCTAATATGTTTTCAAATAAATGTGGTAGATACTAACAAAAAGAATTTATATTCTAGCAAAGACGAATGAAAAAACAAGATTCATGTTGCCATTTTGAGTCGTGAGTAATTTAGACAAGGCTGTATGGAGTCGAGTTACAACCTTTTTTTTAATTAAAATATAACAGATTATTTCAACAATAAAATTTCCGGTTATTTTAAACACAAAAATCCCACAATTCCATGCAATTGAGTTCTCCTAACTTGGGCGTCAAATGTTGGTATTGCAACACTTGAACACCAATAATTCAAGCAAGGGTTCTTTAAACAGGCATATCTATTATTGTTGCATGGCACCTATTCTCAAGCCTAATAGAACTCAGGAATTAGAACAACCTCCAATCAACTACATTGAAAAATCTGTATACTCCTTAGGGACTAGTGATGGATATACTCTGATAGCTCACCTTGAAAAGCAAAGCACGATGACGAGAGAGCCCAATCTTTAGCGAACCGATAGGCAACACACTGGTGTGCAGAGATGTCCTCAACTCAGTGCTCCTCTCCATCCACCTTGCCAATATGACATTGGCATCCCTTACAGGCCCACCCATGTTTTCTGTAACAAGTTCAGCAAGCCTCTGTACCAGTAGACTAATCTCAGTAGCAGGGCAGTCTAAGGCAATACAGTGTGCTATCTGTAATAACTCTTCCAGAGCATGGTCTACTGTCCGATTAACTATTACAACTTCAAAGCCAGAAGTCCCAGGGTTGTTTTCAAGATCTGTAAGAGATGGCATTTTTCCTTGGGTTGCTGGATCTGTAGAGAGGCCATATACATCATAGAAACCATCCACCACTTTCTCCTCATAGTCAAGGACACTGTAATCCTGGTGGTAGAAGCAAAACAACATAAACCAAACCATACAGAAAGAATTTCAATGCAGATGCTGACCATATAATCTTTACCATAGTAAGAAATAACATCATAGAGATCTAAGAAAAACAAAGTTCAGTTCAACTGCCCCTATTGCATTCTGGATTTTGTACAGTATTGACAAGCAGTCAAAAGACAGAAGCAGTGAGAACAGAAAGATTAAAGACAACAGAATATGAAATGGCGGCATCCAATTGTTGAAATACGTGACTTCTTTCCCTCAATCAATGACATTCTTCATTTTGACAATTCACAATTCCAAAAAGAAATCTTCTGAAATTAGTTAAGTTTAATGGGATGCCATGAGACCAGAGTAACAGATGCAGTTAATGCAAACCATAAAGAGCAAAGCATAGTCAATTATAATAAATAAATAAAAAGAGTCAAATGCAAATATACCAAATTGAAGCTATTTTAGAAAAATATAAAAGTGCTAATGACACCAACGTAAAAATCAACAAACTACAAATACAACTCAATTCAATTCAACAAAACCTTTATCCTAGCCATTTGGGATCAGCTGCATAAATCATTTTCATCTATTGTGCTATATTAAAAGTCATATTTTGCGTTAAAACTTAAGCTATCATATCATTTTTCATTATTTCATTCCAAGTTAATTTTAACCTTACCTCTATCTCTCGCATTATCACTAATTCTCTATTAATTTATCTCTTATTTGTGCTACTTCTATGGTTTAACAAATATATTCATTTTTTATTTTCTTTTTATGGTCTTACTGTATATCTATCTTAAAACCCACATTTCCGTCACACTAGTTTCTTAATATGGTACTTCATAGTTGTCCAACATTCGGTACCATAAAGCATTACTGATCTAATAATTGTCTTGTAGAAAAAGAAGTTACCTTTCAGCTTAGAAGTTGTATGTCAATTACACAATAACCAAATGCATTCCTCCACAATCCATCTTACTTTATTTCTATGAGTAAGATTGTGTTTAACAGCCAAACATTCTATGATTCGTATCGCTTAAAAATTTTAAATCTCTTAAAAAGAAATATTTTAAGTCACGAATCACCTACTTATTATTCAATGATGAATATGCTATGGAATTAGGCTTTTATAGACTTTTCATAATGGACTCCTAAAATATTTTGATCTCAATTCATCTTACACCTTAACTTTGGTTCAAGATTGTGGTATATGCAATCGACTCGGAGGGCAACGGCAACGGCCGCAACGCAAATCCTAAAATATTTTGATCTCAATAGATCTTACATCTCAACTCATGGTTTAAGGTCGCGCTATCAACAGTTGACTCGGAGGGCACCAAAACACATCGGTCATAGTGTTGCATCAAATACCGACCAATACGACAAAATGCCAATTACAATGCTTGAAAAAATCCAACAAAAATATCATGAAAAATTCAAAGAATATGCAATCAAAAACAATCCATGCATCATATATCTGAAATATATTATCTGACACATTAAACAATGAGATGCAAGGGTATCCACAATTTACTAATAAAGAGTACTACTAATTGGACCAAATTTGGGAACCTAATCCTTGTTGCCATAGAATTAACCATGAGTCCTAATCTATTCTACCCAAGGATCAAAATATCGTTCGAAACAGTCGAAACGTCCGAAACATTTCCGTTTCCAAGGAGAGCGAAACGAATCAATGATGAAATCAAAATTCTAATATTTCAAGGTATTCCATAATGTTTCAAGATGTATTATAATATTTCAATGCATTTTCACAATTGTTTCGGAATGTTTCAAAGTATTTTAAAATACTTTGATATATTTCAATCAATGTTTTAAAAAAATAATTCTTAAATTTTTTATTTTTTCATTATGTCTCTGAAATGAGTTAAAACGTTTCTGAAACACACCGAAACATTTCTGTTTTCTAGGTGAACGAAACAATATACCGAAACGAAATTTTGATCATTGATTCTAGCCATTGCCAATTGTCAATTGGCATGATTATCGTAGTTTTAAATGATGCTAAATTTAGGGTATAGTAGGTAATGGTGTAACTGTGAGATCCCAAATTTTAAAGTAAGAGTTGTATTTTAGTAAAAGTTAGGGATGAATTTAGAGGTTGAAAAAATGGTCTTTATGACAAGTTAGTGATGAATATCAAACACGTAACTTATAAGAGTGGTACCTTATGAAACGCGTTTCTATGAATAAGAATCATGCGGGATGTTGTTAAATTTGATATTTTTATAAGTTCAGATACTAATTGAAGTAATTTAGAAGGTTAGGATTGTGTTTGAAGGTGTTTGGGATGTGATTTTGGCCCATTAGAATGGATGGTGAAAGAGGTCGCCCAAGCGGAAGGCTTGGCGCTCTAGAAGGGCACTTAAAAAGGGGCAAAAACAAAAATTCTGGGATATGACGCTAGATTCGCACTCGCTTCGCATTCGAGCTTGACGTGAACATGTCATTTCAAGTTAGTTTTTGACTTATAAATGCTCTAAAACTTCAATAAGAAAAACTCATACAATGGAGTTGCAATCTGCCGCTTTAGCTCACTCAAACATCTCTCACAATTGAAAAAGATAATTATTATGTTACACTCCATATAATCTAATGATTAAAAAAGTCTTTCTTTATCTGTTTTTATTACATAACGATGTACAATTTTTATCAGCAATTCCATTTGGATAAAGTAAGGATGTGAAATATCCAAAAGACACAATAGAAAGAAAACTAAAGAAGACCTCTTTGCTTTGATTTTGTTCGAAAGGGCCTTTCCATTTCCATGACCTAGCCTGGTCAGTACCTAGCTGGGCTTTTTTTATTTTTTTCAACAAATCCTAAATGAAATGATTTATCTTATTTGAAAACAAAAATGGTTGAACAAAAAAAGGGACTTTTTTCAATCTCTCATTCTTCTTTCATTCTTAAACCCTAGACATATTTTATATAAAAGAAGAGAAGAAAACTTAGAGAAAGAAGGAGAAAAAAGGGCTAGAGATCTTGGGAGATCTTGAAGATTTCTACACCTATGATTTTGAAACCTGCAAAAAATATAGGGTTTTCTTTCCTAATCTTCAACAATGAGGAAAGATCAGATGGATCCTATACCCTATATCAAACACTCATTCTTATCTATTGATAGAAAGATCTTCGTCAAATACCGGACTCAGCCTATTTTTTTAGGAATTCCTCATATCCAAGGCTGCTTATCACAAGCACCCCACCCCATATGACTAGTTGGGGCTTGTTCGCCTTTTGAATCAAAGTAGTAGGGCTTCATAGCGGTTTTTCTTTTGGGCAGCTGTTCACCATTGGATCTTGCCAATACAGTCCCCTATAGTTTTCTTTACCAAGATCTTTTTTTTTCCATTGTTCCCAAGCATTTTTTGGGTAATCCGCCCTCATGCTGAAAACAGTCAAATCTAAACTGAGTCTTGTCGTTCTTCTTTCTTTTCTCGCGAGTAGGAAACACGCCAGCAGCATGTGTTACATGATTCTATTGTGTTTTTTTGCACTTTAACATGTTAATCCATGATTTCTCGAGTACATTTTGTTACAAATGTGAGATAATTTTGTTTTGAATTCAAACATAGAAGAGAATGAGATTAAGTGACTACAGATCTAGGAATTTCATGTCAAATCTGAGTTATCGGATCAGGTTAACCAAGGATCAAAATTTTGTTTCGCTACATTATTTCGGTCACCTACGAAACAGAAACGTTTCGATGTGTGTTTGAAAATAGTTCAACCAATTTCGGAAACATAATAAAAAAAAATTAAGAATTCTTTTTTCAAAATATTAGTCAAAATATATCAAAGTATCTTGAAACATTCCGAAACAATTGTGCAAATGCATTGAAACATTAAAAAATACCTTGAAATATTATGAAACACCTTGAAATATTATAATTTCGATTATATTTCTGATTAATTTCGGTTTTCTTGAAAACAGAAACATTACAGAACTTTCAACCGTTTCGAAACGAAATTTTGATCCTTGGGATTAACGTTGATGTACAAGATACACACAATATGTTCTTCCTAAATCCTTTTCTAAAGAGTAGTTTGCTTGATCAATGGATTATATTCAATTTGATCTACAATATCATGATTCAAAGATATCATCTGACTTGCTTTTTAAATTCGTTGAGTATCATGAATCTGAGATTCTATTTAGATTGCCTTGTGTATAATGCTTGTGTTGATTATGTGGATCATGTTTAGTTTGGATTGGGGGTTGAATTGTAGTAGCCAAGATAAATAGACTAAAAGCCAATAATGTGAGCCTGGGGGAGATTATGAAGTTGTTACTCTATGTGCCGCATTTGATGTGACAAGTGATATGGATTGAATTATGGTTATTAGTTATTTCTTTTATTGGGATCATATTGTTCTATTACCAAGTTGACTAGATATCCGTTGTCATGTATAATTTTCAGTTACCTTTATTTTTCAAGTTGAGTGCCGAGAAAGGATCTAGATTGGGGATAGTATGGAAAGTGAAGATTTACAAATTTTGATTGAAATCTTGTAATACTTGATTGGCCAATTTATTGTATTTGGAGACTATTACCTATCATCAAATTTATGTAATTTTTATTAAGATAATTAGAGCTTTGGCCCGTATATTTGGAGATTTTAATTGTGATTCTTTATGGGTAGTTGATCATTTAACATATATGAGAAACTGGAGCGACACTGGGTGGGGTGAAACAAACGTCTGATAATGGAGGCATGGATTGTTTATCTAATGCATACCTCAACCTTGAACATGTTTTCACCTTTCAAGTATGGAAAACTACAATTATAGAATTTTTGTTATTTTTCATGCATTCTATTTTAACATATACAATGTTTTTACATATTAAGTGAAACTACATTATTTTTCAAGCGTCACTATAAAAGAAATGGTTTCATTATCTAAAAAATAAAATCGTATGTCCTCAAATCATTTCAGCTCCATATATCGAGGACCATAAAGAATCAAGTTCACAACAAAAAGAAATAATTGATTT